TGAGCCATGACAGGCTTCGGCGGGCGGGTTGTTTGAGGTTGGGGCTAATACCCGGATGGCAATGTTTGCAGACGCCACTTCCTCCTTGGAAGCATCCTCTTCGTGCCTCTTTTTTCTGCCTTGATTGTGTTTGCGGGTGAAAACCATTACATGTTGGTCTAGCGTCGTCGGTGTCTTTGGTGTCGTCTCCTTCCTGAAGGTTTCGCTATGCTACTCCAGCTCTTGCTCGACCATAGTGGTGCATTTGTGCGACAACCGGCTTTGTTAGTGGTGCTCTACATCTTGTTGAGTGGTGTCGTTGTGGCTCTAGTTGTTAGCCAGTTGTTGGTGTTGTTGAGTTGCTAGTTGTGGGTCGTTTTTTTGACCAAGTTAAGGTGCTAGTTGTCTGGTCAGTGTATCAAGTTGTATGGGGATGAGTGGCGCACTCTTCTCAGTCATCTGGTTTTTGTCCGGTCAATGTATGCATTTAAGACCCTGGTTTGAGAACTCATGCTAGAATAGATGGAAAAAATCCATACTCTTAATAGTAGGTGGGCCCTTAAATCAAAAGATAGAGCCTGATTTAAGGGCACCTATTGGAGGCGCACTATACTATTGGTTTAGGTCCAGTTTTCATGCACAACATATATATCATATAGTGGAGTCCCTCAAAAGTTTGGCATTCAGTTGAATGCTCTTAAATGACATGAGTTCAGCCCTATGCATAGTCTTTATTTCATCTTATAACCGCAATAATTTATACCGAAACATTTATGATGCATTTCAATAGACCATATTCAAATTCATAAATTCAATACGACAACTAAAATTTAGAAATTGCAACAAACAAATCACACCAAGTTGTCCATCACAGCACAAGCAAATTGCACACGTCGCACACATAGTCCTAGACACCACCAGTGCCATGCCTCATCCACAAATGCTCCACACTCGACCTAGCAATAAACCGACTGTCAATAGCGTTCCTCCACAATCCACGTTGTTTATTCGCGCAACACCTTAATTAATTAGCCTAGTGCCTTTGCATTGCTTAGCAGGGAGGGCATGACGACATGCATGACGACGTCGCAAGAACTCCAACGGATTAGCTTTGTCTCCAGACGTGTTCTCAGGACGTGCACCCTGTTCACTTAGCTTATAAGCCGTAGTTTTTCAGCCAACGAAGGATATTTTTCTCTCACAACAAATCAGTCAACAGTACTTTCAGTCATGTCTTATCAGTCAAGTGAACAGGACAATGACGAGGGCGGCCATTTCGGCGTCCACACGGCCGTGAACTGGAACGTGATGAGAGTAGCTAGCCGACCACGCGTTCTCCTGTATGAGGATCTGACGATCGAGTTGCTTGCCAGGCAAGCTACTCATCGTCCCCTTCCTCAAGACCTGAATATTTTTTCCCCGCCTTGGAATTCCTTTCTTTGGGTCTCCATTCTCCAACGCGTCTCGCGTTCGTCGGCGTCGTCGCAATTCAAGTTCCAAAAGCCGTGAGCAAAGCGTGGAAGCCCGCATGTTAATTTCAACTATAAATCCGCCTTCTGTAGTTCTGTGCAATCCATTCGATGCATCCCACGAGGCCACGACCGCCCACATCGCTCACCCCAACCAAAATCGACCCAAAGCGGAAGGAAGAAAACCGATCCATGGAGACAACGGTGGCGGCACCGGGCGCCCCCGCCAGCTGCGAGATCACACGACTGCCAAAGGACCTCCTGTTGGCGTCGTTCTCGCGCGCCGGGCCGGTGGCCGCCTGCCGAGCCGCCGCTGTCTGCCAAGCTTTCCACGCCGCGTCCGACACGGACGCGCTCTGGGCCTGCTTCCTGCCGCGCGACCTCCCTCCGTTCGCTGACAAGGAGCTCTCCCCACCGCCGGCGTCGAAGAAGGCGCTGTTCATGCGGCTCTCCGACGGCCCCGTCCTCCTTGCCGACGGCCTCACGGTACGCAACTCCGCCGAGCTTCTATTGGCATATATATAAGGAGTACATATACACATATATATTCGTTGATCGGCTGCTGGTGTGGTGTGGTGGGTGCAGAGCATGTGCCTGCACAGGGAGACAGGTGCATCGCTTTGGGTGACAGTTTTCTTACTCCGGCCCACTGTCGCTGGATCCCCGTCACCGGTTCCAGGTTTGCTATTGATCTCCCTCACATGTTTTTTTTTGAACAACCTTCGATTGATGCGATATTCATGCATGGATCAGAACCAATTGATCTAGCTAGTTCTTGATTGCAAATCTTATCCCGTGTTAATTTATGACAGATTCTCAGAAGCTGCTGAACTCCGACATTTCCGGTGGTTGGAAATAGGTGGCAAGATTGATAGCACGATGCTCTCCCAACACACGACATATGCTGCTTATATTGTGTACAAGGTAGAGGAGAATAGGTGGTATGAACGGTTCGCTAACATTTTTGGTGCCTCAAAGTTTCCTAAAGAAAGAGATGATGGTTGGATGGAGGCGGAGATGGGTGAGTTCCATAATGATGAAGGTGAATACGGTGAGGTTTCCATCAGCCTTAGGAAGTTGCCATATGGGAATATTGGTCTTGTTGCTCTGGGCATTGAGATTAGACCTAAGGGCCTCCTCTCCACATCGATCGCCCTCAATCGTCCGGCTATGTGGCCAGCCTTCCACGCCCCATGTCATCTCCCACTACTTGCTGACGGGGAGGTCTTTGAACCGCTGACGTCCAAGAAGGCGTTGTTCTTGCGGCTCTTGGACGGCCCCGTCCTCCTCGCGGATGGCCTCACGGTATGGGCCTTCGCTTCTGCTTGTATCTATTAGTTTTATGTTGTAGACGATTCTGGGACAATCAGCTCAACACTGATGCATTGCATGTGGTGTGTGTAGAGCTTATGGCTTGACAAGGAGACCGGTGGCATATGCTACAAGTTGTCCGCGAGGAAGTTGAGCATTGCATGGGGTGATAATCCGACCTATTGGCACTGGATCCCTATTGACGGCTTTAGGTTGGTTATCTTGCTCACAGTCATATGTTAGCTTGCCAAATCTGAAATTTTGATATGAATCATTAGTGAGCATTTAGTTATTACTCCTTCAGTTTCGGAATGATAAATGTAGCTTGTAGAATGAAATCAACATATAGTTTAATAAGGACATAAAATTGTATAAATATATTTGCATTCAAAGTGTTTCTGAAATGATATTGATTCTTTTGCAAACGACAACATACTGTACGAGAAATTACGGGTCAAATCCTATTATGTATGACTTTTGTCTAATCAAATGCGCTCATTATTCTAGGGTAGAATCAAGTATAGTTATGGTACTTCCTCCAGTAAGTATGTCAAATGATGTGGCGCTGGTGAACTAAGAACATGTTAGTGTACTTTGTTCAGTAACAATGGAGTAGTTTGGTTGGTGTCATTGAATCATACTGTTCATGAGTTTGTTCTAGCCAATTATTTTGGACATTTTAGATCCACACAAAAAATAGTTTGAGAAGCTTGAATGATGTCACGTTATGGAATCAATTGTTTGCATCTATTGCTCTAGTTCTTAATGACATATTTTAACCTGATTAGTTTGTAACAGATTCTCGGAAGCGGCTGAACTCCAGGAGGCTAAGTGGTTGGAAATACGTGGCAACATCGATAGCAAGATGCTCTCCCAACACACAACATACAGTACTTACATTGTGTACATGCTAGCTATCGAGTACTACGGGCTTCGAGCCCTAAAGACATCTGTTAGCCTCGGAGGAAGTAGCAAGTCGACAGGCCACGTTTGTCTCGTCGATGGCTATAACTACTCGGAACATTGGCAGGTGATGCGAGAGTACCTTCCTGAAGACACGCACTTTCCTCGAGACAGAGGTGGTGGCGGGATGATGGAGGCGGAGCTAGGTGAGTTCCGCATCGGTGAAGGCGACGATGGTGAGGTTTCCATCAGCCTTATGGATACGTTCCGCTCTAAGTGTGGTCTTGTTGTCCTAGGCATTGAGATTCGATCCAAGAAACAAAGGGTTTGATGAGAAGAACATTGTTTGTGCGGGTAAATAGAAATCAACTCTGTAAAGTTTTTATTATTCGCAGTGGTGCAGTGTGGTGTGGAGTGATTGCCGAGGTTAAGAACTGTACCTGAAGTCCATAACTAAGGTGTTTCCATTATTCTCGTGTACATGTATATGCTTTGTCTTGCAGCAAAAAAAAACGAATATATGGTCCACAAGATATTCATTCTGCAATTAGACGTTTATCAGTGATGTTCTCTTTCCACATTTTCTTTCAACAATTTCCTACTGTTGCAGTAATTTATTAGCATGCATATGCACAGTTATAGTTAATTAGCATCATCTTTACAGCCGCCGCTCCTGGTGGCAGTGGATTAGTGACTCTGTGAATGCCGACAAGTGAGCCGAAACTATTGGGGGTTTTGATCGGCAAAACGGACGTGTGGGTGCGCGGAAAAGGAAAATGGGCCTTTTCAGCGGGCACTGTTCAAAGAATTAGAAGCCAACAGGCCGAATATCTACTCGTAAAAGAAGGAATGGCACACATCGAGCCCATCTACGGCCCGCAACATGACGGGCGAGCAAGCCGAGCCAGTTGGCAGCCACTCCAACGGATTCGGCCGCTGACCCCGCTTTGCTGCTCGCAGGAGCCGCAGCTCGCCAGCTCCAGAGTCCAGACGCTCGGCGAACGCGTGTGCAGCGGAGATCCGCTGGGCCCATCCACGGCGTACACGGTACAGCGATACCAAATCGAATTCCTTCGCCATGCCCAAAGCTTAGCCTCGAAGCGTCTGGCTGCGTCCGCCGCCCCGCGCCTCTTCCACCTCAACCCCCAACCACAACCCTATTAAAATCCGCCTTCCATTCCATTAGCTGTACAGTGTCCTGCCCTTGCCCTGTGATGTGTTCATCCCCACATCGTTGATCGTTCCCCAATCGCATCGAGTCAATCGAGAGCGGAAGAGGAGAGATCCCGCAAGCGCATCGAATCGACCGAGAGCGGAACAGGCGCGGGGGAACCGACGATGGAGTCCACGGCGACGGCGCCCGCCACCTGCGAGATCGCGCGCCTGCCGGACGACCTCCTATCGGCGTCGCTGGCCCGGACGGGTCCGCTGGACGCCTGCCGCGCCGCCGCGGTCTCGCCGGCCTTCCGGGCCGCGGCCGACGCCGACGCCGTCTGGTCCAGCCTCCTGCCGCGCGACCTGCCCCCGCTCGCCGACGGGGAGCTCCCCACCGACCCGCAGCCCACCAAGAAGCAGCTCTTCATGCGCCTCTCCGACTCCGCCAGACCCGTCCTCCTAGCCGACGGCCTCACGGTACGGGACCTCGAGCCCCCGCTTCTGTCTGTCTGCGCCCTGTGGAGGTGGTTATCTTCTCGATCGATCCATCAACTGATGTGATCACTCACCCGGTTGTGTTGTGTGGTGCCGCGCAGAGCATGTGGCTGGACAGGGCCACCGCCGCCAAGTGCTACATGCTGTCCGCCAGGAAGCTGGGCATCATATGGGGCGACACGCCGCAGTACTGGCGCTGGATCCCTCTCAACGACTCCAGGTCTGTGAAATCAAAACCTCCTTTTATCCATTTATTATCGGCTCCTCAGCTCTGATGCAAATGTGAACTAAGTGCTAGTAGTCTAGGGCCTTGTTTAGATTGCAAGTTTTTTTACTCTCTTCGTCACATCAAATCTTTGGACATATGTATGGAGTACTAAATGTAGATAAAAAAATAACTAATTACACAGTTTGATTATAAATTACGAGACGAATCTTTTGAGTCTAGTTAGGCTATGATTGGACAATAATTGTCAAATACAAACGAAAGTGCTACAGTGTCAAATACTGATTCCTAACCCCAGTCTAAACAAGGCCCTGGATACCAAGTCAATAGTTGGCTAGTTGTGCGTTCGTGGAAATGTCTAATGGCTATTTCTTTTACATCACATTGTTTTGGGAGCAATCGAAGCAGCTTGATGGTGTTAAAGACTCTTAGGTTTGCTGTTAATAATTTGTACTAAAGCAGAATCGTACCCCTGTCCATACTGCTTTCCACATGCGCATGACCAAATGTTTTTTTTCCCCTAGCTTTCAAGAGCAAAGATTCATGGCCTTTTTTACTTTGATTCTCTAACATGACTGGATACAACACAATTCGCTCAAGGAAAACTAATGCTGAATGAATGTCACTTTACATAAACAAACTAATGCTGAATGAATGGCACTTTAGATAAACAAATGCACTATTCCATGTACCTTGTCATATGAATTTTAGGCTCATATAGTAGTATATTGCAAATTCCAATGCCGTGTTTGTGACAGGTTCCCCGAAGGTGCAGAACTCCTGGACGTTTGCTGGTTGGAAATCCGTGGCAAGATACATTGCAACATGCTCTCCCAGAACACCACTTACGCAGCCTACATGGTGTTCAAAATGTCCAATGAATCCTATGGGCTGGACTATCCACTCCAGTTGGCTGAAGTTAGCATTGGGGCAACCAAATCCACTCGTCAGGTTTGCCTTGGATATGACAACGAGGGCGAGGACGGGGAAGAGGTGCCTCAGAATTACCGATCATTCAGACCAATTGGATTATTCAGACCAAGGGTAGGGAGAAGAAACCGCCGCGTGCCTCCTGGAGTGCAAGTACAACATCCTCAGACAAGAGCTGATGGCTGGATGGAGATGGAGATGGGTGAGTTCAACAATGAAGAAGGTGAAGATGGCGAGGTGTCCATCAGTCTCATGGAGATCAGGGGCGGCGACTGGAAGAAAGGTCTTATTTTGCAAGGCATTGAGATCCGGGTGAAGAAATAAGGCTGGGAAGGTTGCAGGAATCGGGCTTTGCGCATCCAAGTAAATAAGGATCTTAGATTTATAGTGCGTGTTTTGCAGCACTTGCGTTGTTACGCAATGCATGCGTGTTTTGTCAAGGCCCAGCAAAAACTAATTGTGTTCCCGAGGTTCTTGAGGCCAAAGAACTGCAGTTTTGTACAGGTTATGTTTGTATCCCAGATCACTCAGTGCTCGATGACTCTCAATGTTGCTTTTAAAGTGTATAAGCTAGGCGTGCTGGTTCTTTTCGAGTTACGTACTGCGTGTGGTTGGATATTGTGAGATACAGCTAGGAATCGAATGTTTGGCAAGGAAGAAGAAGAAGTACAGTACGACAAGTGTTTTGTATTATAAGAATGAATATGCGGTTCACCGGTTTCCCCTTTCGTTCACGGCTCTCTGCTAGATATACTCAGCTATGCTTGCCACATGGGCCCGAACACCTTGGAGTTGGGCCGTGCCTGTCTCTTGGGCCTCGGCGAAGGAGGGGCAACGTCGCTGGGGTAGCCTTCTGGGTCACCAGCGGCATCAGTTGTTGTAGTATCAGGGGTGTTGCTGACAATCCCCCCTCCTTGAGTGCCGGCGTGCCCCCACGCTGGTGACCGGGGAAACTGGCGACGAAGCTCTTCAACCGACTCCCAGGTGGCGAGGGAAGCCGGCATGTGCGACCACTTGACGAGGACTTGATGAACTGGCCGCTCACCAGATGACCAGCGCCACTGCAACAGCTTCTCAGGAACCTAAAATTTAGTAAGTGCAGACGGAATGGATGGACTCACCGCCTGGGAACCTGGAGGCCGCTTGAGCAGCGAGACATGGAACACTGGATGCACAGATGTAGACGCTGGTAAGTCTAGGTGATAGGCAACCTTTCCAACTCGTTTGAGGATGCGAAAGGGACCGAAGAACTTGAAAGACAACTTGTTGTTGGAGCGAGCAGCAACAGAAGACTGTATGTAAGGTTGGAGCTTAAGGAATACCCAATCACCAATACTGAAGGAACGCTCAGTGCGATGCTTGTCGGCCTGCCATTTCATACGGTGCTGAGCGCGATGAAGGTGTTGCTGAACCAATCGCTGCATGAGGTCTCGATCGGTCATCCATTGATGGAGTTCAGGAACCGGTGCTGCTGCAGAAATATCCAGTCCCAAATGTCGTTGTGGAAACCCATATAGCACCTCAAATGGAGAGCGACCCAAGGCGGAGTGCGACGAAGTATTATACCAATACTCAGCCATTGAAAGCCATCGAGACCATTGCCGTGGACACGAATGGACAAAACACCGAAGATAAGTTTCCATGCACTAATTGACACGCTCGGTTTGCCCGTCCGTTTGGGGATGATACGTAGAGCTCATTCGAAGATCTGTCCCAGCCAGTTTGAGGAGCAACTGCCAAAATTTGCTTGTGAACAGCCGATCCCGGTCAGAGATGATCGCCAGAGGCAAGCCGTGCAGCTTATAGATGTGGTCCAGGAATGCTCGTGCCACAGATGTAGCAGAGATCGGATGGTGCAAAGCAATGAAATGGGCAAACCTGGAGAACTTGTCAACAACCACCATTATAACATTGGCAGAACCAGATGTCGGCAAACCTTCGACAAAATCCATTGAGATCAGTTCCCATGATGCTTTGGGTACAGGTAAAGGTTGTAAGAGACCTGGATAACTGCTGCGATCGGGCTTAGCTTGGGCGCAAACGGCACAGGACTGCATATACTAACGAATGGCAGCACGCATACCGTGCGAATAGAAGAGCTGATGGACCTTGGCGAAAGTAGTCGGGACGCCGGAATGACCGCCCACAGCGCTGTCATGGAGGGATGATATCACCTTGTTCTGCAATGCAGCATTAGAGCCCAGCCAAATGCGCTCTTTGTATAAAATGACACCTTGGCGCAAACTGAATGGAGGCCGTGCAGCAGAATCAAGAGATAACTGAGTAAGCGAGTCCATTGCTTCAGAGTCTGTAGAATACCACTGCTGTAGAGAAGCCAGCCAATCATGCATGGGTGATGACAGGGCCAGAAGAGTTTTTGGATGCGGCCACCGTGACAAGGCATCAGCAACGGTATTCTCCTCACCACAACGGTAGACAATTCTGTAGCGGAGCCCCAACAATCTTGTAAAGACCTTTTGTTGCCATGGCCTGTGGAGCCGTTGTTCATTGAGGTGAATAAGGCTCTTCTGGTCAGTGTGTAGAATGAACTCCGACTGCAGCAGGTAATGGCGCCAACTATCCACGGCCATAAGAATTGCCAAGTACTCTTTTTCATAGATGGACAAACCCTGATTGCGAGGCCCAAGGGCCTTACTGATATAAGCCAAAGGTTGTCCTCGCTGCTGCAGAACTGCACCCACACCCACTCTAGAAGCATCAGTTTCGATCTCAAAAGGGATGGAAAAATCAGGGAGCGCCAAAACCGGAGCTGAGGATAGTGCAGCTTTGAGAGTCAGAAATGCGGACTCATGAATGGAAGTCCATACAAAGAGTGAGTCCTTTTTGAGCAAATCCATCAGGGGCTTCGCGATGACCCCAAAATGGCGAACGAACTTTCGATAATAGCCGGCCAAACCAAGGAATCCCCGAAGATCATGAACGGAAGATGGTGTTGGCCAATCTTGAATGGCTTGTACCTTGGCCGGATTGGTGGCTAGACCTAAACCGCTGATCACATGGTCTAAGTAGGAAACTTGTCGTTGAGCAAACTTGCACTTAGAGAGCTTAATCTTCCATTTTTCTGCTGCAAGCCACTGAAAAACCAGAGCAACATGCTGTACGTGCTCCTCATAGGATCTGTTGTAGATCACTATATCATCGAAAAAGACGATCACGAAGCGGCGAAGCCCAGGAGCCAACGTCGCATTCATAGCATCCTGAAATGTGCCCGGAGCTCTAGTTAAGCCGAAAGCCATCACTCGAAATTCATACTGACCGAGATGGGTTTGAAATGCGGTCTTGTGCTCTTCACCAAGTTGGAGCAATATTTGATGGAACCCCGCACGAAGATCCAGATTGGTGAACCAACTGGCATTAGCTAACTCATCCATCAGTTCCTCGAACACTGGTACAGGAAACTTAGACTTCGCGGTGAGTGCATTGAGGTGACGAAAGTCCACGCAAAACATGTACAAGCCGTCCTTCTTCTTGACCAAGAGCACTGGCGAAGAGAAGGGACTAGAGCTTGGCTGTATGATCCCTTGAAACAGCATTTCATTGACTTGTTGCTCGATTTCATCTTTGAGGCTCGGGGGGTATCGGTAAGGGCGGATGTACACAGGACTATCACCTGGCAGCAACGGTATAGAGTGGTTACACGCTCTGGAAGGTGGCAAGTCCACCGGTGTAGTGAACAAGCCCGAAAAGGAATCAACAAGAGCTTGTATCTCAAATTGGAAGCTCCCGGGTCATGCGAAGAAGATGTTTGCGCTAGTATCCGTAACTCCCGACAGAGTCAAGAAGCAACCGATCGGGGACTCCTCATCGAGACCTTGCAACAGCACAAAATCACCATGATAGGGAATAGAGAACCACTTTTGCTGCCAGTGGACGTGCATTGGGCTGAATGCAACAAGCTAGTCCATACCCACAATAGCATCGAAGGCTGTTAGAGGAAGCACTCTGAAATCAAAATGGAAAGTGCATTGATCCAGTGTCCACGGCACATTGCGAAGGATTCTGGAGCTCAGTAACAGGCCACCATCAGCAACTTACACTTGAGTTGATTGCGGAGTAAGCACTGCTGACGACAATTTGGCGGCCAATGACTCACTGAGAAATAATGACGAGCTACCGGAATCAATCAGAATTAGCGTTGGATGGCCAGCGACTGTCCCTAAAAACCGGATAGTATGAGCAGCACAAGCACCAAGAGCAGCAGCTTTGGAGATAGCAACAAACAACTACTCTTTAGAGTTATCAAACGAGTCCCAAAGAGCTTCCACTGCAAGCAACACTTCAGGAGGACATGTGTGGTCTTTACTCCACTTGGCACCACACTTGTAACATAGACCCAAAGCCTTCCGATAAGCCTTGACCACCTAAAGCTTGGGATCAACACTTGAAGAATGCTTAACTGCAGGAGCCGCTAGAGCAGGACCAGGAGCTGAGCTGGTCCCTTGTCAGTACGGTGGCGGTGGAAGTGGCAATGGCGTCCTGGTAGTATGCTGGAATTTGGACGAAGCATACCAATCACTGGAATGAGGCTGCTTGGTCGGAGCGGCAGCCCCCGCCTCCTCCTGCAACAATGCCAAAACACAAGCAGCATCGAGGTTTTATGGACACTGAACCAACACAACTGCCTTAATTTCTAGAAACAACCCATCGATAAAACGCATGGTATAATAGACAGGGTTGGTAGAATTGGAGTAAGCCGATAGCTGATCCACGAGTTCAGTAAAGCGTGTGACACACAAGCAGCATCGAGGTTTTATGGACGCTGAACCAACACAACTGCCTTAATTTCTAGAAACAACCCATCGATAAAACGCATGGTATAATAGACAGGGTTGGTAGAATTAGAGTAAGCCGATAGCTGATCCACGAGTTTAGTAAAGCGTGTGACATAGTCAGAGACAGTTGTAAGCTGTTTGATGGAAAACAGCTTACGGATCAACAGCTCATGTTGGTCACGATCGAAACAATCATGCAACAACTGACAGAAGGTGGACCAAGTGGTAGTACGAATTTGGGATTCGATGGACTAGAACCAAATATGTCTTCAGCAGGCCTTCCAGATAATGTTCGACATCGCCGATCCACGAGACTCCTCCACACCATACATAGCGAAATACTTCTCACAACGACGATGCCACAAGCGTGGATTGTCACCGTCAAATTTGGGGAAGGGAAGCTTGGGAAGGCGACCTAACGCAGAGGAGGGAGGATAGAGGTCTAGAGGCTTTTGGTGGGCGAAATTGTGAGGAATTGTAGGATGTGGTGGAAAAACTTATGGAACTGAAGTAATTGATGGATAAATTGACGTAATAGCTGAAGAAGGCGGCGGGTAAATTGGTGGAACAGAGGAAGGAATGGAAAAATTAGAAGGAGCAGGAAGGGGTGAAGGAAAAGTTGGGTGAATTGGGTTGGGTTGGGAAAAATTGGGAGGAGCAGGAAGGGATGAAGAGAAATTCGGTTGAATTGGGCTGGTGTGGGGAAAATTCTATGAAGTGGAGTACGGCGGATGAAAGCTAGGTGGATTCGGCTGTGGTGGAGGGAAATTGGCCGGCGACGGGTATGGGGGGTGGAAGGTGGGTTGCACAGGCCAAATTGGAGGGCGAGGAGGAACGATAATGGGAGGAGGACGATCCAACACCATGACTGACGATGAAATCGGAGGAGGGTGAGGAGTGGACGTCGTACCGTTAGCCGGGATATGGCTCCAGGTCGTAACGACCCCGAAATCCAGTACCCCGTGTAATCGATGTAGAGCAGTGCCCGTTGGTTCCATCGGTGGACGGTCCGGTAGTTGGGCGCGCGGCTGCCGACGAAGGGGACAGGGAGGGGCCAAGCTAGCGAGTCAACGAGGCACCCTGCGTGTTGTCCCAGTTGTCGGAGATACGCTTCACCTCGAGCCTGAGGTCGTCCACGAGCGCCTCCACCGCCGGCCGCCAAGTCCCGAGGTCCGTGGTCGCCACCTCCAGTGTGGTGACTCTGCTGTCGCGGTCGTCGTTGGTGTGGGCGAGCCGAATCGTGTCCAGGTCGGAGTAGGCGACCTCCAGGGTGGCGAGGCGGCCGTCGACCACCGAATCGCGAGCGACGCGGTCGTGGTCCAGATCGGAGAAGCGGTGCTCCCACTTCTCATCCTGTTCGTCGAACCGGCGATTGAGCTCATCGAGGACCAGCTTCAGTTTGGGATCCATGGCACCCTGGGCGCGACGGAGCCTGGTGACGTGCTCGTGCGGCTGCAGCGGCGCGGGTTCTAGATCAGCCTAGTCTGATACCAATTGTGAGATACGGCTAGGAATCGAATGCTTGGCAAGGAAGAAGTACAGTACGATAAGTGCTTTGTATTACAAGAATGAATATGCTGTTCACCGGTTTCCCCCCTTTCGTTCACGGCCCTCTGCTAGATATACTCAGCTACGCTTGCCACATGGGCCCAAACACCTTGGAGTTGGGCCACGCCTGTCTCTTGGGCCTCGGCGAAGGAGGGGCAACGTCACTAGGGCAGCCTTCTGGGTCACCAGCGGCATCAGCTGTTGTAGTATCAGAGGTGTTGCTGACAGATATTGAAGATTTTGACCCGTATCATCAGAATTTCTATTTGGCCTAGCATGTTAGAACCATCAAACGGCTGCATACATATAGAAGTGTCGACATTTCCTTTTTGTTATGTTACAAGTTGGACATATGACGTTGAAATATAATATCAGATATATAGAATCTAAAAAGAAGAGTTTAAAACATATACTAGTACCAAAGACTGTAGCATGTTAGAATCATCACGCAGCTGCATATAAAAGTGTCGGCATTTCCTTCTTGTTATATGTTGTAAGTTGGAAAAAATGACAGTAGAAATATAGGCAGATATAGAATCTAATCTAAAATCTAAAAAAGAGTTTAAAACATATACTTGTACCATTTAATTAAATATAACCAAATAGGCAGATATAGAATCTAATCTAAAATCTAAAAAAGAGTTTAAAACATATACTTGTACCATTTAATTTAACATAACCAAATAAGAGATAAAAAATGTATTGGGGTGAGAGAGGCTCGAACTCTCGACCTCAGGATCACTCAAATTAGCTATGAGACCTACGCGCTAGCCAACTGCGCCACCACCCCGATGTTATTTCGTTTTTGTTTCAACTGATTTTAAAGATGCACATGAGCCTTTTGATTCCCATCTCACAGCAACACCGATGAACAGAGGAGGACATCTGTAGACTGTAGTTCTTGTTCATGTGCCATCATTGAATTTCTATCAATATATATTCACTTATGTGTTGAAGCTTCAGAGTTCGGACCTCCTTTATATTCACTTATGTGTTGAAGCTTCAGAGTTCGGACCTCCAAAAGGAAACCAAAACGACGCGGATTGTATATTCTCTACAACAAGATGAGGCATTGGAATGACGTCGGGTTGCGTAAGGTGCGGGTGGAGTAAATATTACGAGGAAAATTTCATACTTATCTATACCTGTGGATAAGACATTCAGCATGTTCGCTTATTAGTTTTAGTCAAATTTTATCAGTTAGCTAATAGTGTTTTTCTCTCACAACAAACCAGCACCAATCGGACTTATTAGACAAAAACTAACCAGCAAACATAACCTTTATACTTGTATCCGCACCCGTCGAGTACGATAGTACCCGCACTCGTGAGCCAGATTACACTAGAATGGATATAACCCTCTGTCTTTTTAGCTCTAGCAGGCGACACGATACACCCGCACCGGTGCCCGCAGGTAGAACCTTTGTACTCGTACTTGCACCCGTGAGTAAAATTTTGTACCCACGCCAACATCTATCGGGTACAATACTCACGAGTAAAATTGCCATCCCTATTTGCAGTGTTGTGCTATTTTTCAGGTTGTTGTTCCCCCTTCCAAACTAAATTATTTTTTTGGTAGTTTCAAGTCAAATTAATTTTATATTTAACTGATTTTATAGAAAAATACTATTGTCCATCGAACTACTTAAATACTTGATAAAATATATATTTCATACTGTATCTAATTATGTTATTCTGATGACATAAATATAGGTGAATTTAAAAAGATTGTAACTCACTGATCTATTTAACGTGGGGGTAATATTTGAAAAGAATACTTGTGTAATTCGAAAAAAAAAACCCAAATTCAGGTCGTGTTCTTAAAAAAAAAAGAGGTATACCGTTTCGAGGTTGATAGCGAAGCAACCTTTTGTCTTTCACTATTTTCAGATGCCCGAAACGAACTCAAATCAAAGAGGAAAATGGGTAGGTGCTGGTATCTCGTTATCTCGTGACGTGTGGGGACCTCGAAACTGAACATCGACTGTTGGATCACGGCAATGACACTTCAAAAGTTTTTGGAAACAAATACGTAGTGCATAGCACATGCGCAGCTGATACAGAATAGATAGACACTCATAGAGTCGATAGATGCCTTCAGTCTCTTCAGAAGTTGTATTTGACACGCCCTTGCTGACAAGAACCACCACAGGAATTTCAAAAAAAAAAAAAAAACGAACAACCACAGGTGAACAGTTAGCATGCCTTGCAGAGTTCGGCAACTACCACCATGACCCAAGTGCGACTAGTCCATCAGCAATGAAGCCTACTAGTACTTGCCAAATCCTGTCCAGATTCATTGTACACGAAGTTCGCATCATTAGCGGACGCGCGGCACATTTTTCATCACGTATGTTACCGAGAACTAAGACCTCTTTTCTGTGTTCGATGAGATTTTTTTTTTAACATGCTGGATTCGAGGTTTTCTCGATATGTAGAGAAGATCTTCGCCGAAATAGTCCCGCGGATCGAGTTTTTTTTTTTCTTAACCAACGAAAACGAGCGCGATAAACTGACTGATCATTTGTCCTTGTCTCGATCGAGCTGCTACGTGCAGACATGCCCTTTCTGCAGAAGTGCAGAACAAGGCTGTGCAGCTAGAATCTGCTCCATGGAAACTGTTCGAATCTTTTCCTAAAAAAAATGTCCGAATCTCCACGCCGAGAAATTTCAGTGAAATTCAGCTCGGACATTCGTTACCGGACGCCAGGTTTCAGATGATTCAGACCCGGATTGTGTGAACTGCGTGTTGACTGTTGTGCTTCAGCTTCACACGTGGATCTCTCACGAAGACGAATCCGCTCTTTACCTTGCGCTCGCTAGACAAATCAAACTCCAACACAAGGAGCATTTAGCACGGTGCCGAAGAAATAGAATGGTATCCACAGGAGATCCCGGGGACGTCACCGGTGATGCAAGCTTGCTCCCTTAGCCGTCTGATCGCGCCACCGTGCAGGACGACGGACGGGACTGGAAGGAAGACCAGCAGAGCTGGCAAGGTTGCGCACTTGCGCATTGACGAGTCAAAATTTTCTTGACAATTCGAACTGTACAAAACTTAAACAGAAGAAGGAGGCGAGGCGGAATCGCAGTCGCTCAAGGTCACAGCCTCACAGGTGACTCACGATTCGAGCGACAGGAGAGGGAAGCACCGGAAACGAAGCCGAGAGGAGCGAACCTTCCGATTCGTCTGCCCTCCTCCGTATCAAGATCACAGGTGCGGATTTGTGCGCGAAACAACTACGTATTATTTCCCGGCGAAATTTCGGGGTCTGAAGCCGGATTTCCTTCTGCGGTATTGAATTGCGCCCGCGTTCTTAGGGTTGTGTTTGAATCGCGGGCGTTGGGAACCCATCTATGGCGAGGAAGATGCTCGTCGACGGGGAGGTGGCGGCCGTCGCGGACGCCGGGCAGTACGACTACGATCTGTTCGTCATCGGAGCGGGCAGCGGCGGCGTTCGCGGCTCTCGCTTGGCCGCCTCCTTCGGAGCTAAGGTTTGTTGGTTTCCCCCCCCCACCACATCCTGTCAATTTTGTATCATATATCGGGCGCGCCTATGCCTGAATGCCTCCTCGCCGTGACACCCGTGTGGCCGTGCCCATCCATCCACTGCCTCCCCGCTCCTCCCTCCGCGGCTCCGCCGCTTCCATTCCCTGCCGGCCCCACCGGCGGCCACTCCCATGGTCGGCGGCTGGCACGCGTTGCCTGCTGCTGCCCTGGGAATATAGGATTAGATCATTAGATGGCTTGCGCCTACCGCTGACGGCTGATCCGACCCTGCGGTTGGCTGGGCGGTTGAATGATTGAATTCCGTGGCAGCATGTTTTCTGTGGATTTTATTATTATGTTTCAAACCGCGTGGAATTGGATGCAGTTCGTATGATGTCAACGCTTCAGAGTGAAGTGTTCCTCTGCTGGTGTTTGCAGGGACTGCCCTTTTCACATCTCGCCTGCAATAGGGATCGTATCATGTGTTTGCTGTCCTATCAGTGTCTGGGTCTGCTGCTTGTTGTTTTTGACTCGTTGTGAGGTTTGTGGCAGGTTGCGATTTGTGAGCTCCCATTCCACCCCATCAGCTCAGAGTGGCTAGGAGGACATGGTGGGACGTAAGCATCTCCTAATGTTTTTGTGCATCTCTTGTGCTTACTCAAAACATTGAATTAATCTGCTAGGTATATTGCTTCATTCTAAATCTGCATGCTCATAATGATCATATTGTTGTCCTAGGTGTGTGATACGTGGTTGCGTACCCAAAAAGATACTGGTGTATGGTGCATCTTTCCGCGGTGAATTTGAGGTTAGTCATTTTGAAGTCTTGTTATGGTACAACTATTGTAGGTACCCAAAATGGTTCTGAAGCTGCTGACATGTAATCTAAGAACACACTTACTTTGATGGTAGATTGTAATTGAACTGTAGTTTTGTTACAAATGCAGGATTCAAAGAATTTTGGGTGGGAGATTAATGGAGATATTAACTTCAATTGGAAAAAGCTGTTGGAAAATAAGGTCAGTTTTAAATCTCTACCATGACTATGAGCACATTCTGCACAACTGCTGACCCTGAAGGAATGTCATATTGCCCAAGGTTCTAAATTTTTTCCTTTTCTTCAGACTAAAGAAATCGTTAGATTAAATGGAGTGTATCAGAAGATCCTTACCAATGCCGGTGTGACATTGATTGAAGGGGCAGGGAGTCTAGTTGATGCTCATACTGTTGAAGTTAGCCAGCCCGATGGTTCAAAGCAAAGGTATACAGCGAAGCACATTTTGATTGCGACTGGTAGCCGTGCTCAACGTGTCAACATACCTGGAAAGGTTTGCAAAATTCCTCACCTACCTTTTGTCACTAAGACTTGCACAGTTTGATTGCACTGATACTTGAGATGCTGAAGATTGATGATTGTTGGAATTTTCAATAGTGTAAATTCGACACTGCATGTTTGAATATGGTCTTGCACCGTGTTCCTTTCTTGAACTGTTCTGAGGGAGCCAAACAATACTTTTTTATTCTAAGGAAGCATACATCTTTGTTATGATTTAGCCTCTTGTTTGTTTTCATTTTGTCCTTCATCCTTCTGGTGAAATATTGTTAAAAACTAGTGAAAATAATCTTTTTTTTTCAGGAGCTGGCTATTACTTCAGATGAGGCCTTGAGCTTGGAGGAGCTTCCAAAGCGCGCTGTAATCCTCGGTGGCGGGTAGAGTGCTGTGTGCTACTTTAAACATACATTGTGCTGTTGCTCCAATTATCTGACATACGTTTGTCCATGTGCCCGGATAATGCAGATATATTGCTGTTGAATTTGCTTCTATCTGGAGGGGGATGGGTGCTGAAGTAGATCTGTTTTATCGAAGGGAGCTTCCTCTAAGGTTTGTAATTATTTTTTGGGAATCACTTCTCTTATTAATTCTTTAATGGCTAGCCCGGCCTCTTGTTTAAGTAATGCTCTTTTGTTCTTTCATTCTGGTTATCATCATGTTCTACTTTTGTTTGCATTTGGGTAATTTATTATCAATCCTGGTAGTGAATACAACTAGACTGGACAACCTGTCCTCTGTCCATATTGTACATTGATGTATTTTTCAACAGCCATAATAATAGTGTCAATGTGAAATGTTAGCCTATGTATGTGATTAATAGAAATAAAAAAGGTCCCAAAATGTTTTTTGTTGTTGTTCTATTATGGATTCAGCTGTTGTGACATTACAGAGAAGTTTGTGCCCACAGTGAATAATATTTTAATGCGCTCAGTGTCCATGCGCGTGTGTTTTTGTTTTTCATCTAAGGAGTGCAAATTGTTTCTTGTTTTTTAAACCTGGACATATGTATCTGATAACACACCTGCCTAGCAGGCAATTATTCCCTCCATCCATCTTTGATCTGTGTATTATAATAAGTAAGCATTGAGGTGGAGCCGTATTTGCCAAGGTGCTATTCTGCACTCTCCTAGGTGTGCTTATGCGTTGGGCGGTGGGGTACTGCACACCTAGGGGCATAGGTCATAGGTGGTATCATAGGTGTCGGCGTGTCGCCCATGCGTCTGTGACGAAAGATGGACGGACATGCCATCCCCGGTGTCTACCACAAGCTGATCTGCTCTGGCAGGGATGTGTGGGGGAGGCAGGGAGCCGGAGACGTCAAGCCAGCAGTGCAGGGGATGTTGGGTGGCAGTGGTGTGGGTGGGCGTGACCAGGTGGGGGGCAGGGGCAGGTGTCAGCAGAGGGCGCAGGCAGGGGTGACCGAGAAGGGGTACCAGGAGAACGAGCCAGCGAAGGGAAAGCTGGCAGTGGGAAGCTTGGATAAGGTGTTGTTCAGATTTGGGATTTGGCTTTGCTTTGATGGCCCTTTCTCTCCAAAGCTTGGCCCACTAGGCCCTTTCTTTTAGAGTACATGTATGTATATGGCAACGCCTAGGCGGGCATCAGCGCCTAGAGAGTGCCTAGTGGCTTTTTTAACCTTGCCAAGTAGTGCATAATCTCCTCCGTAAACCATTATTACTGCACAGGAAACTAGCCACATTTTCGCTGGAGAAAACGTCGTGAGAGCCAATCAAGAGAGCTGGAACATTTGAATTCTGCATGGAAACCAATTCAGGGTTTAGGGTACAACGTTTTTTTTAATCTGCTTGCAAGCTGAAGCGTTGTGCAACTCCCACCTGAGAGACAACTGGCTTCTGCTGTGGTAAAAAAAAAAAAACTGGTTTCTGCTGTTCCATATGCAATGCGTAGATCAAATTTGGTTCTACCTTTTTACGTATGCACAAATCAAGATGGATGGATGATTGTATGATACTTTCAAGTTTAGAAACAGAAAGCTTGTTGCTATGATTGATGTGGACAGGAAAGATGGGCATAACATTATTAACAAACTCACTTGCAGAGGTTTTGATGATGAGATGAGAGCTGTTGTTGCAAGCAACCTTGAGGGAAGGGGAATCAAATTGCATCCAGGGACAAATCTGTCTGAGGTGATCTTAACTCAAGCACTACAGTGCATTTTGATTTCTAAACGTCAGTTCTAAGTTGGATCAGTTTATTTTTACCAGTTGAGTAAAACGGCTGATGGCATAAAAGTTGTAACTGATAAAGGAGAAGAGCTCATTGCAGATGTTGTTCTATTTGCGACAGGTATTTGGGATATCTCCCTAGTTGAATTTTATCTTCTTTGTTGCATCAAAACATTTGCTTAGAGATCCAGTTTTGGACTGCATGGTCTTCCTTGGCATCTTTGTTCACAGGAGGAGTTGGATGTCTATTACAATACTTCTAATATCTAGTACCACAGTAAGAAATTCGAAAGAAAATATTTGTAGCTAAATGTTTGAGATATAAAACTGGCAGTATGCTTATTTGCTTTCAGATTTTCGTGCAATACATGGAACCCAGTTTTTTTAGTTTAATACTATATCCATGCCTTGTATTTAATTGGTTGCAGGGCGCACACCAAACTCCCAGAGACTGAACTTGCAAGCTGCAGGTGTTGAGGTTGACCAGATTGGCGCCATCAAGGTTACTTTTTCTTTCTTCCCTAGCTGTTTCATCTTTGCCTGTGGGGTATATTTACACCTGGAATTTACTTCTTATATTTCTTTTAAAGCCACCCATAAATCTGATTGAGATAGTATTGGGCAGTTGAGTTTATCACTAACACAAGTTTTGCATTATTTTGAGTAATTTAAATGTTTTTTTTTCAATGTTTGTCTGTTTAGGTTGATTTAATATTCTTGTACATCTGCTCCTAGTGTATGGGCTGTGGGTGATGTAACAAACCGGATCAATCTAACACCTGTTGCATTGATGGAGGCAACTTGCTTTGCCGTAAGTGGTTGTAGTAAAAAATCGGTTAAGTTCTTTGTCTCTAACTAGCAGTTTCTTACCTTTTCACATTTTCAACTGCAGAAAACTGTGTTTGGTGGCCAGCAAGTTAAGCCTGATTACGGAGATGTTCCTTGTGCTGTTTTCTCGTAAGTCACGCAATCTTAATCATTTTCAGTTGAATGGTGCTGTTCACATCTTTGTAATCGAACCAAGTTGCATGGTTTGCATGCTTGCACATATGCTTTGCAGTTTGCAGCACAATGATTGCAGTTTTAATCAAACCAAGTTTCATATTTTTTGTTTAATGGTATTTTTTTTCAATGAAGCACCTGTGGTTTACTTGCCATCACAATTATTTGCTTGTTTCTGCTTCTCTGTGTAGATTTTTGGTATTTGTTTTCTTCTTCTAAATCCATATTGCTGAAATATTTATTAACAACTAATAATGTGTGAAAAATTGCTGGTGGTTTACTTGCTATCGCAGGTGTTTACTTGTTTCTGTGTCTATAGATTTTTGGTATTCGTTTAACTCTTCCAAATCCATGTTGCTGAAACATTAAATAGCAACTAATAACATGGGAAAAATTGCTAGCATAAATTTTCAGCTGTTTTGGGCGCTAGATCTAGGTGTAGTTGTTCTATGATGCGTCATGTTTTAGTTGATGCAAATTTTTGGACATGCGTTTTTCTTAAGAATTTATGCTTCCTTTATCATTGATCATCCTGCAATAACTTGAGACTATTATTGTTCCGTAGCATTCCACCACTATCTGTAGTGGGCCTCAGCGAACAACAGGCCTTGGAGGAAGCCAATAGCGATATTCTTGTTTTCACCTCATCATTCAACCCAATGAAGAACAGCATATCCAAGTAAGCATAGTAAATATCATGAAATTGCCTGTTAGATGTTCTTGTCTGCTCCATCTTGCAGGCTTGCACCCTATGAGCTCTGACGTATATGTCTTCTACCACATCCAAGATCTGAGTGTTCCCTATTTTCTTCAGCGCTCTGCTTTGTAGTTTCTATCTCCTACAGAAGTTTGTAATTCAGTTTATGTTTTCAGGCGCCAGGAGAAGACTATCATGAAACTGGTAGTTGATGCTGAAACTGACAGAGTACTTGGTGCGTCCATGTGTGGACCAGATGCACCTGAAATTATCCAGGTAAATACAGTTCTCTGGTAAATTTTTCAGTATTTAGGTCCTCCCCATTCTTCGTTGTTGTCTTATGACTGAGCTTTGGCATGATCCAGGGCTTTGCTGTTGCGCTTAAATGTGGAGCCACCAAAGCGAACTTCGACAGCACTGTATGTTTTGTTTAAAGAGGCCTCTTGAAGTAAAGCAGCTCTTAATATCTTGCGCCTAATGGTGTATGGCTTTTCAGGTCGGAATCCACCCTTCTGCTGCTGAGGAGTTCGTGACCATGCGGACCGTGACAAGGCGCGTGAGCCCGACATCCAAGCCAAAGACGAACTTGTAAGCAAGATTTGGTGTTTTGGGGAATGACACGCTACACAAATATTCTGGTTTCATTTTGTTAATTTTACGTCATTCGAACTGTAACACTGTATAATGAAGGAATAGGATTTTTTGTGACAGTCCACTCAAAATAATGAGATCATAAGGTTTCGTGATCAAAATAAAAGCTCAAGCTGTGAGGCCTGAGGACGTTTATGGTTGCATTGGTTCTCTGCATCTGAAGTCTGCTAGCTTAGAACGCCTTTGGTCCTCGTTATTCAGCCTGTTCTCCTATCTAGTCTCAACTTGTTTCAGCTTATTCTCTTTCACATAACGCTATTGAATCAGCCGAAATCAGTTCAGTTCTGGATCAGCCGAACACCCTCTATATAGTTAGTGGCCGTACCTGTTCAAGTAATGGCGATTGGCAAGGCTTACCCAAACCTAAAATGGGTCTCCAATACAATACTATAGCCTTCAACAGAATATCTATATGAAAGACCTATTTTGGGTATCAGGAGAGGCATAACCTAAATCTAAGTATCATCTCTTCTAGAGACCCATTTATAGAAAGCATTGTCTTTTAGGTCTTATTATTGGAGAAGATAAAAAATATGCATCGAACCCCTTGTTTGTAGCACTATCTAAAGGACGAATGTGTCTTTTATTTTGGGTCGCAGTTTGAAGACAGTCTTACAGGTCGAATGCATTAACCTGTCGTACTCGTGGCACTGTGATTTGAGAAACCAGCACATATTCCAGTGAGGTTTGTCTCTAACTGCAATCAATTTAGCACAAGAGATCTGACCCAGGATTCCAGAAAAAGTGCGTCTGCGTGCGTCTTAAATTGTGCTGAGATCCATGAACACGAGCAGTGGTGCCAGTACTGTTGCGTCTTAAAATGCGCTGAGGTCCATGAACACGAGCAGTGGCGCCAGTACTGTTTAGCTGAGCTGACACAGCTACAGTTGCGGGAGTTTGTGTTGTGTGTACCATTTGCTCTCTCTGGTCGGTGGTCGATAGTCACTGATGAGAAAGCTCAGCCGCAACTAATATCTGGTGTAGGTCAAATTGACCGGTTATTTATATATGGATCAATCTGTCTAGCTCGACGTGCGTGTATAAAGGTAAAGATGGAAACTTGGCTATGTCATGTGCAACTGCAAGCGACTGTGATGCCAGGTCTCATCGTGTCCTCAGAGTAGACACTGGACAGAGAGATGATAAGAGTTGAAAGTCCTGGGCAATTTATAGATGGTGCGAGATGTTAGCACAAGAACTACGGGCCTCGCCGCGCCTCGTGGTGTTCACGTGGCGTGCGCAATCTTACTCCTAGTGATATCGACGAGTTTTGAATGCATGATGAAGAGTCAACAATTGACAATGGCCTTGCTTTTGTAGCCCGTCTCTGCGGACAAGTCATCAATACACGGCGTGTGTGCGCGCAGGTGCCGGTGCGGTGCGATAGTAGTGTGTACGTGTGGACATGAAATGTTTCATCTGGTTCATGTTCATTCTGGCCCTCACTCCCATCCACGCATAGAAGCACCGAAGCAGCAGAGCATCCATCATCATGGGGCACCCGCCGAGGACGCCGCCGCGCCGCGGCGCGCGCGTGTTCCACCGAACCGCCGGTATATCGCCTTGACGCCCATGCCGGCAGGGCACGGCAGCCGGGGGCGTTCCGTCACGTCGCGCGTGCCGCACGCCGTGCTGTGCCGTCCGGCGTCCGCGCGCGCCGTTGTTTTCAATTGGTATCAACTACTGAAAGGAAAGAGCCCCGGACCCCGGTGGCCGGCGCCGCGGCGCGCGAGAAGAGGCGGTCCAGGAACACGCAGGCTGCAGTCTGCATGCGTCCGTGCGGAGGGGCTGGAGTGCTGAACACTGGAGCCGCGCATCGGTGGGTGGCGTGAGTGCTGACTGCTGAGCCTCAGATATGGGTATGGCTACGTGTGCAAATGGTGTAGATATTTTTCGTCAAATCCGTTCAGAGGAGTTTGGATAATAGTATCCGATAGCAAATATTCAAATGGGATATAAATGATGTTCATATTTTATTCGACACTTATCCGAATACGAATTCGAGAAATGTTGGTGGTATCCGAACAGAAATCTATGTCCAAGGCTAATAAGAGCAAGTACAATAACTATGTTATAGCCCCAACAAATGCTGACGTGAACGAGAGAGAGAGAGAGCTTGACTCTCATGTAAACAACAAGCGGTGCACGAAAGCATATGCAGTTGTGGCCTCGTACATTAAGTGAATATGAGGAAGATTAGGAAAGGTAATGTGAGATATGGGTACTAAGTAATAAAAAGTTTGTTATAGATAAATAAGAGACACTATTGTCTAGCTTGGCTCTCACAACTTAGAGCCCGTTTGGAGGGGCTTCTCCCGGCTCCGGCTCCAGCTTCGGCACTGTAGCACTATTGTGGTGGAGCCGGGAGAAGATCCAAATGTGCTGCTCCTCCGGTTCCTCTTCTTTCTAGTTTATTTTTAGAGGAGTTGGAGCCATTTTTTGTCATGCTACAGTGAAAAACGGTGTTGCACAGTGTTTTAGGAGTAGGAGCCGGAGCACCAAGAACCGCACGAAACGGGTTCTTAGCTAATAGCCAAGCAATTGCTCTATTATTGGACTTGCTTTGAGGTGCCTGGACAGCAGCTAGTTAGGTGACAAGGCAACGTCCTCGCCATGCGCTGTGATCAAATCAGAGCAGCAATGCAATCCAGCTACTCCTGTTAGAACTGGCCTAGCCCTGATTGCGTTGCTTGCCGACGGAAGCACGCACTGACGCACGTACATATACACTGTGACATGATTGGCCAGCGAGCGTGAGAGTGTGGAGACATGCTGCATCATGCATGCATAGCAACGGGACCCCTGCTGTCTGCTGATTGCTCAAGCATATTCGGAGTTTTGATGGGGTGTCTCGGTCGCTCTGGCTATCCTATTCCCGGTCCCGGCCCGCGCAGCCGCAGCGAAGCGCTGGCCTACACTGCCGCCACCTCTCTCTGTTTTTTTTGTACGACGCCTCGACAAACCTGCATTGATCCATGCATGGAATGCATGCGGGGTGCTACAGTTGCTTCTGACGTTAACTAGCACTTGTAGGTACCAACACGTACGTCTCCTGCTCATCTATGGTCTGTTTATTCTTCTTAATAATACAGTACCATGAGGACATCAATGCAGGCTGCTACAATTAAATTTGCCCAGAAATTTCACATTCAATCAAATTTTGGAAAAAAAAAATGTACTCGGCTTCTCCACTCCAGCCACGGAAATTTTGTTTTTCTAGCTCCACCTCTGTGTGCAACTAATCATATAGGCTTCAACCATTTCAGTTAGGTGTCGACAAGATCGACAACGGAAATTTTGTAGGACGTTCGATATGGTTTAGTTGTCGCATTTAATCCGGATCCATAAAAACGAGATTTTAGGACACAACCTCTCTAATTGATAGAGGCGGGCACATCAGAAACCGCTGCCGTAAATAGTCAGGCAACCTTTAAAAAAATGTCAGTCTCTAAAAATGATTTATAGGCCGCTTTCATAAATGACCATTCTAAGCAAAATCGATTAGAGAGGCGACATCTTAAGATGCATCTCTATAAATAATTGCATCCAAAATAATTCATAACTTTTCCATATGAACTTGTATAAAGACAAATTTTATATCAAAATTGTGGTTCTCGACGTGATCTACACATTTTTAGTTGAGAAGTTTTTGCTTTAGAATTGTTTAGATTCCCAAAAATATTGTTTTAATTTTATGGATTTAGAAAATTTGAAATTTAAAATTTTTAAATAACCTTGGATGTTGACATAATCTATACCAAAGTTGTAGTTCTTAATACAATCTACAACTTTGTAGTTAAAAAGTTTTTGATTTAAAGTCGTTTAGAGTTTTAAATATGTGTTAATTTCATAGATTTTGAAATTTGCAAACGATCTTGAACTTTCACATAGCTATATATACCAAGTTGTAGTGGCTGACCTTATCTACATTTTTGTAATTGATAAGGTTTTTATTTGAAGTAGTTTAGTATCTTAAATATTTATTTTAAATTTATATATTTTGATATTCATTTTTTAAAATTTTTTAAACGGTCTCGGACGGAGACATGGCCGATGGTGCCAAAGACGTCGAGTTATGGGGCGTATAGAGCAATGCCATGGCAAAGGAGATTGAGTGAAATGGACCATCGTCACTTCCCATGCTGAGAGAGAATGCTATGCGGGGAGACCCCTAGCAACTCCACCAGATTGAACATCCTATTTTCCTAAAAAATCAATAGAAGATTGAGAGAAAAATTAAAGGGGAAAGAGGATGTTTGCTGCACCGGATTGAGAAAAACTCCACCACGTTACCATCTACTGGCACATAGGACCCACATGTAAGTCATTCAATAAGATTTTACCTCTTCTTCTCTCCTCTCTAACCTCCTCGACGCCTAGAACTCCCAGAGCTCGCCTGACAAGCGTGCAGCCATCCGGGTCGATGAGAAGCTCGCCGACGAGAGGCCACCTAGCACAGATGCAGAGAGCAGAGCTTGTCGGCGTGGGGAGCAACATCGTGACCGGCGAGCGGCCCGCCCAACGTGAATCTCACCCACGCATGGCCGGCACGAAGCTCATCGACGTGGGGCGTGTGGTAGTGTGGGGCCTCATATGGCAGTGAGAGGAAAGGCAAAGAAAGGGGATTGAGAGAAAAAAAAAAACTAGCGCTAGATCTCCTTTGCTTGAGGGAGACGTGGGGATTTTGAGGGATTAAGAAAAAAATTTAGGAAAAGAAGATTGGAAAGGGGATCGGTTGGAGTTTTTTTTTCCCTAATTCTCTTTATTGCTAGGAAGAGGAAATGATTTTAGTCAATCTTGTGAGCTTGCTGTAATATCTAGTCCCTGGGCTTCACAACACCCGTGCCACGAGAGTGAGTACCGACCAGCGCTGGTGAAGAAGACGATGAGGTCAGGGCCATGGCACCGGGTGGCGGGTATCAAATATCTTGCTTGTTGCAT